CGGCCGCTAGGAATTATGGGTTGCTAGGAGTTTCACCATTAGGAATTTTCCGCCACTAGGAATTCCTCCTTAGCGGATTGGGTGAATTTTGACCACCCCAAACAAATGTTAATTTCTTTTGCTCATTGTTCTTGGTTTTTGCAGTTTATTGTCAAATTTTTGTATTTGCCAGAAGCCTCATCCAAAATTGTATTTCGCCCCCTGTTACTGTATGAAGGGAAAACAAATAAGGTTCTCCAAAAAAACATATTGGTTGAGACTTAGTGCCAGTTTGGTATTGCTTATTTGGGGTGATAAGTGATTTTATAAAAATTTTGGGAAGCCCAACCTGTTTGGTAAACTATGAGAAAATTACTTATTGTTAAAAATTGTTAAAAATTGATGTGAGAGAAAGCTATTTGGGAAAGCACCTAATAAGGTGCTTTCATTTTCTGATTATACAAGAATCAGTTTCAAAGAGGCGTTGGGTTTAATGATTATGCAGCAATCATTTTTTTATTATACGGGAGTCCGTACCAACAATACTTTTAACAAAAAGTTTACCAAACGCCAAACTGCATTCTCTCACAGCTGATTTCTCTCACAGCAAATCTGACAGCGATTATTTTCACAGCACAACAATGCCAAACTGGCCCTTACTTTTTCTTGCTGAAAACGTGTATCACAAGTCAACCTACTTTCTTTCTTTCTTCTTCTTCCTCTTTTCTATTATTTATTTAATTATTTATGTTTATTAAATTTTTTTTTTTCTGTCCCCCTTTTTCTTTTGTGCATTTACACGTTATGCAAACTGATATAAACAATTCATGATGATTAAATGGGAGCATTCCAGTTCTTAACTTTACCTTATCTTCAACTTTATATCACATATTGTACTAATCCTTTTAAAAGCAAGACACTTTTGTGTGTGCATTTTCTTTTGACGATACGTTCCCATTAAGTGATCTTGATGCTTGTTATTAATTTTTTGCATAATTAAGTTAGTTTCTTGGTATTTAACTCTTTTAATGTTTTTATTTAATTATAAAATTTAATTTGCCTTC